AAGGACATAAAAATGTATTTATTTACAACTTACAGCTATTTTAATTGCCGTTAAGGACATAAAAATGTATTTATTTACAACTTACAGTTATTTTAGTTGCCGTTAAGGACATAAAATATGTATTTATTTACAACTTACGGTTATTTTAGTTGCCGTTAAGGACTTAACAAATGTATTTATTTACAACTTACAGTTATTTTAATTGCCGTTAAGGACATAAAATATGTATTTATTTACAACTTACAGTTATTTTAATTGCCGTTAAGGACATAAAATATGTATTTATTTACAACTTACGGTTATTTTAGTTGCTGTTAAGGACTTAACAAATGTATTTATTTACAACTTACAGTTATTTTAATTGCCGTTAAGGACTTAACAAATGTATTTATTTACAACTTACAGTTATTTTAATTGCCGTTAAGGACTTAACAAATGTATTTATTTACAACTTACAGTTATTTTAATTGCTGTTAAGAACATAACAAATGTATTTATTTACAACTTACGGTTATTTTAGTTACCGTTAAGGACATAAAATATGTATTTATTTACAACTTACGGTTATTTTAGTTGCTGTTAAGGACATAATAAATGTATTTATTTACTACTAATTATATTTCTTTGTGTAAAAACGTTAAAAGGTAAAATAGATTTCTTAATAATATTCAGCAAAGACTAAGACTAACCAGATTTTCACGTTCCAGTACGTCCTGTGATCGACCCCTTTTCCTTTCCGAGAAACATCCAGGAAGGCATGCGGGCGAGACTGGTGTGTACGGTGATCAAAGGCGATCCACCGCTAAGCATTCAGTGGTACAAGGACGGACAACCGTTGGAACAAGGCTTGAATGGGAAAAGAACTAAGGACGATTTTTCAAGCGATTTGTTTTTTTCTAATGTTCAAACTCATCACAATGGAAACTATACTTGCAAGGTCAACAACGCAGCGGCGTCTGTCAGTCACAGTGCTGTGCTGGTGGTGGACGGTGAGTTGACGCTCTGTTGTAGTCTTAATGAAAACCGTGTGGTGTTAATACACAGTTAAAGATGTCATTTAAGTGATATTCCAAAACAAAGATAGATATGAACGTCAATAAGAAAACAGATTTTTGTTTTATAGATACATATGGAAACAAAATCAACTATTTGAAAATGATACTAAACTTTATGTGCCGGGCGTGGTCCAGACTGCGAATTTATGGTTCACGTCCCATTATCACAGAAACACGCTCCGCCCTTTGGGGCCGTAAAATACGTAAATCAACTGACCACAGTGGGTTTTGTTTTTGTTTTGTTTCTGGATAGAAATAATCACGAAAGTAAATCTCCAGACTTTTATTTTGAAGATCATGGATGAAAACTAGATTTTCGATCCATTTTTATTTTTTTTTTAATATATATGAAACAAATATGTTTAAACGTGGATATTACTAAATCATTACTAAGTACATTTCAATAAAAGGAACTGATATTTTTGATTTTTTTTTGTTATGAACCTCAAACCATATTTTTCTCCTAAAATGAATGAAAACAACACTGGCCTTCAATAATATTACTCCATAGATGGCAGTACACGTTTTCTCACAAGTTTCTTACAAATTGGAAGTATAAAAACACTTGATGTCTATTTAATATAACTATAAGCAAAGTTATGTATATAAAATATATTTAATATTCGTGTTGGCACAGATGTCTACCGTAGAAGGATGCCTCATCACATAAAATGTCATGTGTTATTCTATGGAAAGTCCTTTTTAGTTTATCATATTGCTTCATTAAACTGAATATAAAATCTATTTAATTTTTATATATAATAGTCATGTTTAGTTCCGGCCTCAGTGTCCTCGAGCTATGTTGCCTTCTACCAGCAATCCCTCTAGTTATTTCTTGTTGACTTCCTGGTAATGAAATCCAGTTGCTATGTGTAATTTTAAGGCTATTTAATTGTTGTGTGTGTGTGTGTGATTACTTATTCGTAGTTGCTCAATTTATCTATTGTTAAACGTAAAGCTACACAATGGGTTATTTGTGCTCTGCCCACTGCGGGTATCGAATCCCGATTTTTAGGGTTATAAACTGGAAGACTTGGTCAAGTTTCCTTTTTTTTATTCCTGTAAACTCCCAGTGGAGCATAGGGTCGCAACAACATTTCACCAACGGAAAGTTGTTGTTGCAGTTACTTGTAGCAGGTTGGTTTTTACGGGGTGGAGTTGCTAGCCCTGCGCCCAACCCTCCTCCTTTCTCATCCTGGAGTTGGGACCAGGCAATGGCGGAGGTGAGGATGTTTGGTGTGACGGGGATTCAAACCCCGAGTATTATGAGTCGAGCGCCCTAACCACCTGGCCATGCCGGGCCCAAGTTTCCTTTATGGCAGTTGTAATACCTAATCTTGTTAAAATTAAATTGGGTCAAAGGCCAAAGTTAACGACATGGGCACGCCACTAAAAATGGTTGTGGTAGTGTTTTTCGTTGCCTAATGCCTGGCATGGCCAGGTGGTTAGGACGCTCGACTGACAATCTAAGGGTCGCGGGTTCGAATCTCCGTCCCACCAAACATGCTCGCCCATTTCAGCCGTGGGGGCGAT